TGTTTTTTTTTTTCTTCTAGTAACATCCTCTAAGAATTGTTGCATGATTCAACATTTTAACACCTTCAACTTCACCATCATATCTAGTTCTTTTAACTGGTCTCCCCAATCTATGAACTCTAAGGTGTCTGCGCATGTTACTTTGCACAGAAAATTTTCTACCACAACCAGGCTCAGAACAGACAAATGGTTTTTCACCGGTATGTGAATAAGTATGAATTCTGAGAGAACTTGGTCGTGAAAATCTTTTTGAACAATAAGGGCATTGATATCTATTCACACATGAGGAACTACTTTGAGAAGTTTGACCACTAAGACTTTTTGGAGGAAAATGTTTTAAAGATGCAATATTTGTGAAAACTGACGCATTCAAACGTGGAAGAGTTTGACTAGAAGGTTGTTTTCGATCAAATTGTGAAATTTGAGAGGGATAAATGGTAGAATAAGATGAATAACGTTGTTGAGGTGGTTGTGAGTATTGATTATGGTAAGAATTCATTTGCATAGGGGTAGACGAATAATCATCAGAAGTTCTCGCACAACAGTTGCACTGTTCTCCAGACACCTGCTGGAATGTATATCTCAACTCTTGTTTTGGTGCATGTTGAGTCTCATAAGAATCAAAAGGTGATTGTTGATAATTATGTGTCAAATTGGGAGATTCCGGTGGGGAGAGTAAAGATTTAATATTATTAATATTATGAGAAGGAAGTGTCATATGTTTATTATGAGCATTGATCGCAGCTATATGATGAGCATCGGTTGATTGTAAAGATACAGAAGGAAAGTTTTGATGATAAGTTGAGATTGATGTTACAGGAGAGAATGGAATGCTAAATGAAGAACCTAAAAAAAATATATTCGAGAATATTAATTGAATGATCGATTAAATTTTAAATTAAAAATTAAAATTGAAAATTATTTAAATACATACCATGACTATCGTTGATTTGAGTGTCAAGGAGAAGATTTTTTATTGAAGGAAGGGTAGTTTGCATTATCGATATACGTTAAGAATTGATAATGTTTTTAAAAAAGAAAAAAAAAAAAATTTTTTTTTTTTTTATGAAATTAAATAAGTTAAGAAAAACGAAAGCAAATAAAAAATAAAAAAATAAATTTTAATAAAAAAGAAACGAATTTATAACGAAATTTATATTGGCGGTGGTAACTATAAAATTGTTGAGTGTTAGTACACCGTGTTGAAAAAGTTTGTTAAAAGTTAGTATTTATATAGTTTTCTAACCTGCAGGTACAATATAAATGAATGGTGTATTATATAATCATTTAAAATAATATAATTTACGTTCATAGGCTAATAGCTAATCTCATATGTCTTTTTTCTCTTAATAATGATATTGATCGTATCTTTTTATGTAATTTACTCACATTTTTTCATTTCAGATCATATCCCATAAAATATTGATCAACTATACATGAGAATTTGGGGTACGTGTCAAATGTGCGAAATTCATGTTTAACATGTTAATACGACAAGGTTATAATAAAAAGACTTTTTGTTTATGCGTTAAATGTTCTTCAAAGTTTCACTACATAATCCACATTCTCTTACCTTTTTTTAAATTAATACAAAAATGAAAATTAATTTTCTTTTCACGTTAATAACCGAATTATAGCTTAGCGAGTATTTCTAATTATGGAAAGATCAATTTGATCCCCTCTCTCTTTGTAAATGTGACAAACATGAGATTCATTTCTGCTTATCATTGCTATTATATTGAAATTTTATTTATTTTTTGAATACCGAAAATATTTAACATTCATAAATAAAAAGTATATATCTGATATGTAATATTCCGACTGATAAGTGAATAATAATTTCGTATATCGATATTCGATACCTGAGAATGAAATTCACTTGCTCACAACTATTTAATATCTTAACAAGTCCTTCATAGACAATATATGCAATAGATAATTGAGAATCTTTCTTTATTCAGTATCTTTATTTGTTGCTTTTGTAAACCATAAACAAAAACAGAATACGTCTCAAAAAAGTAAATAAGAAATGCGATGTAAATCTTTCATCGATCCTTTTATTACAGTATTACAGGCGCATGCTTATATATTGATTAGATAATAAAATACATGATGATGTAAAAAGTAGGTTTTATAGTTTTCGACAAAAAATTTATCCGAATCCGGGACCAAAAAACTTCCGTTTTTCTTGAAAGATACCATACAGATATTCAACACACCAAACGTATCAATAAAGAACCTGCATATCATGTATTAACTAGTAAACAAAGATCGCCTAAGTAAGAAATTTCAGGTCTGCAGGTATTATTAAGCTATTTGGTATTTACAGGTTTCTTTTTTTTCTTGTACGTAGCATGTGTGAAAAAACAAATAATAAATAATATGTAAATAGTGTATAACTTTGTATTAAATGACTATATGATGGTGATGAGGAAATATAATAAATAGTAAACAATTGTTGAATTTACCCTTATCAAAAAAATATCTCAATTTTACCAACTTTACCCAAAAATAAGATCAGCGTAACTTTCATAATGAATGAAAAAAAAAAGTGGGTTGAACACATCTTTGTCTCTGATCTACTAAATATCTTTACTTACCACGTTGAAATAGATTTTCGCGATAATTTGAGTTAATTTTATGCATCAATCATACAGTATTTAATGATTGTCAGTGTAAAATTAAGACTTTTTCAACTAACCTTAATCAATTTCTTTTAAAAGAACAAATAAATGGTAAAAGTTTCGAATATATAAAGATTTAAAGTTTAAAGTAATGATGTGAAGAATTTTCGAATAATCTTTAATTATGCGCATTTGATTAGTTGGAAATGTGCATCAAACTTTACAACGCATACATAATTATTTATGAAAAGACTGCAATTATTTAAAACTTCAAAAACTTCAATTTTATTTGGTTTTTTTTTTGTCCCTCCATACGCTCCACACTTTGGAAACAATAACTTGTAAAAAAAAAAAAAAAAAACGAATTCCGACCAATGAATGAATTTTTTATCATGACCATATATAATAATCTTTGGACTTATTGGCGATTAATGTAATTTAACATTTTTTAATTTAATAAATACTTTCGTGCATTTTAACCATTATCTGATTGTTTCATAAATATCTATTGAAACTATATGAAACAATAAGAGTAATAGTGTTAAATGAATGGTCAAAATTCGGCAATTTTTATTTTTTAGTTGCTTAGTAGTCATTAATATAAGTAAATATCTGATATATTAAAAATGTTTGCTGATTTGCCCGTTTCATTATAGTTTTAATTTTTCCAAAATTTAATTTACATTGTACAACTTTAATGCATATAAATTATTAAAACCAGATTTTTCTAAATTACAGAATTAACTGGCTATACTACGTAACAATAAAATATATATATTACAATATACACACGTATGCACGTTTTCACGGTCTCACGTGACAGTAATGCATGTGAATATACAATCTTTTTAAGATTAAAGTCTTGTCAAGATCGTCTTTGCATGTGTATATGCCAAGTTTTTACTTTTTTTTTTTTCATATCTATGAGATTGTTAATTTGCGGTCGATATTCATCTTCAGTAAATCTGTATCATCACAAATCAATTAAAGGAAAAAATCATAATACATTAATTTGAAAATTTGGTCAATTCCTATTGTCTCATGAGATTTTTTAATATGAGAATTACGAGAAATAAATTAAAAAGTGTTAAATGAATTATTTCATGTGAAGGAGATATAAGTATAATATATACAAATGTGAATGTCTCATGATCAATTAAAGTTTACAATAATGTTAACTTGTGAATAAATTCGTATTAATGAATCCGAATTTATATTTTATATTTTCTTTATACTTTTTTACACACGGTTAACATACTCTAAAATTGGATCTCTTAAATCTTCACATATAATCCATATAATCCATATATAATCGTACTAATTTATTTGTTTATAACGAATTATAGTTAGCATTGATTAAATTATAATAAGTAATGCATGTCCACTTAACTTTATGCGTACGTTCGTGTGTATACACATGTCATGCCACATGATTGATATCTGAATTTTATATATTATATAAAGTCAAAATAATAATATACACGGTTAAATCCACTACAATCAAATTTCCCGAATAACTAGTGAATACTTTGTTATAATGAAAATTTTTTTTCCATGTAGTCGGTGGTTAATTTACTTTAATTGAAAATTCATTTATTACTTTAAACTTTCATAATGTTCTCTTAAATTCTTTTAATATTCTCTATATTTTATATGAAATTTTTTTTTTTTTCGCCATAATACAATACAAAAAATGACAATATCTAACTTAAATATGCATTTGGCATTGCATAACTCTGCATAGGTCACTTCTGTATAAACTTCAAGAATAATATTATGTGAATTAATGATTGTTTTTCAAAATGTGAATTTTCACTTGATTTATTTACTAATTTATTAAAGTTTAATCATTTTTAATATTAATCATTTAATCAATCCTAAACATTTTAGGAACTGTCCCAAACGATCCATCATAACACTGTTTTGTTTCTAGTGTTAACCAATTTATTGTCAATTACATCAATTAAAAGATTTGAAAATGTTAATTAAAAAAATTTTATAGAATAGGTGGGCAATAGCTTCGCTAATGATTAGTAATCATTAATTTTTAATATATTCAGCGGAGTTTGGCGGAGTTTGCTCACCTATTCTATAGAAGTCATCCAAAATTTATAATTATACATTAATACAATTAAAGTATAAGGTCGAAAACAATGAAGTAATAATGCTGTGATAATATTCATATGAGTACCTAGCCATTTTCATGCATGTTATTGGGTCTAATACATGATACACAAAATTCTGGTGAACGAAATTTGTGTATCACTTTTAGATAAATGATACAACAAGATGCAGAAAATGGCCAGGTGTTTTACGTCAAAAATATACAATAATAGATAACCATGTTATTGGGGTAATTTTGTTAATAACAATCGCTGATTTATTTACAGCGGATGTTACGTCCTAGTAAATAATTAATTATAATCAACAACATTACAAGCACCCTAATTTCCCCCACCACTTTACTATCGGAGTAAAAAAAAAATTTGATTAATAATATAAATGCTCCGCTAAGTGAATAATTACGTACGTAGTAGAAGTGGCGGGTAAATTAGTAAATTCAAACATGACCAATAATAAGTTAAACAAGAACTGTTATCACTCGTGTGTGAGCGAGGTTATTATAATGGTATGGTATAATAGGTGCCGTCCGACTATGTTTGAGGTTATTAATTATAATATTTTAAATAAGAATATTACTATATATTAACATGTAGATATTTAATGTAAGTAGTATTTCGCTTAAAAAAAAACTGCAAGCAAGTCAGTCGCTAAACTAGGGCTGTTGATCAATCTGGTCTAGATTAATGACAGATGTATGGTCTTAATACTAGGCATTAGAAACTAAGAATTTTTATTGGACATCTTTTACGAATCGAAATAAAGCTACGCTTTGGGCAATCAATATAACCGAATCAAATAATTTTTATAAATATGCTTATTTAATACATGCAATGATCTTGATACTTCTTTGTAAGATATACTACTTACGGCTTTAATTAGTAAAATTTGAATGTTTTTTCTTGGTCGATCTTTGACTTGGTTAAATTATATAATCAACTGCTCGCCCTTAATTATGTTAATCTGGTCTGATCTAGTCTTAAGACTAAGTTTAGACAAATTTATTTCTATTTTGAATTGATCTTAAGACTCTCATCAATCTAGATCGAACTGTTAACCTACAGTAATTAATTTGATAAAATCGATCTGATATTGAATAATCCAGTCCCATTCGATCCTAGACCGCAATCACAGTTCATTCTAGGCCATAGATCGGCAGTCTTTGGACTAGACCCTAGTTGATAGAACCAATAATTCGATTATTATAGGTCAGATAATTTCGAATTATAGAAGTTAGAACTAGGGACCATCAG